ATTAATCTATTACGATAGCATTGAGCGGTGCTCAACCGAGGTAGGCATGAGGTTAACGAAAAACTCGAATTCGAAAACCCGTTGTAATTCGTCAAAAGGGTGCGTACATGACGAGTTTGCACTATTCCAATAATTTGAAGCGTGATTTCACGAAGACGTAGTGATGTATTGCTTTACCAAGAAAGGAGCCTTTTGGAAAGCGAATTAAGGCAAGTTTTTTGATTTCAAGTGACAGCGAAAGCATTTTGATCTTAAGTTATTCTCTATTGGCGACTACATCACAAAATGGTACTCAATCACTTTGTTGTTTTTGCTTGACTCCGCCATTTGTCCTCCCCATTGTAGATTTGACAACCAAGCTTTATAAACAACTTGAGCCACTAATTAGAGAGCCATTTAATGGATTAGTAATAAAGAGCCAAACTTTTAGAGATGCGCATCAACACCCTACTCCTCGAAGGTTGGGCAGTGACCACACGCGCAAACATTTAGGTAATCCCAACCGTCTACGCCCACTCTACATTTTGCTTTTATTAGATTGCATAGTCATTCTTAAAAGCAAGACATAACGAATAATCATTGTATTACTTGCACCAACGAAAACTTGATAAATTTTGATTATTTTTATGATCGTTGCTTTATTAAACTTATTTTTTCTTACTGATTTTGCCCTTTTAAAATAAGCTGCACGTCTGTGCCAGTTCCCTGTCTTCAAATTCTCGTAGAATTTTCGCTCTACCACTGATACTTTGTACGTTTTTGTTATGAATTACAATTGATTTAAATCTTCGCTGAAAATATATGGCTGTTTCTGAATATTTATCTTTTAACATTCTACATGAATGGCATATCACTTATATGATATCAAATTCAAACAATAGTTTTACATTTATATGGGCTCAATAATATTCCGACTTGCTCTGCGTTATCGTCGATAGATTCAATGCAGTTGTTTCAACATAGGAAAGTGAGGGAAGAGATTGTGTGTTGGCGTTTTGCAGAAGCAATTACTATTTCTACAGCGTTAAAGTGCTAGTACCACAAGGAGGTGAGAAAAGCGCCTGCAACAATGAGTAAACTAATGTTCTTCTGCAAATGAAAGCAGCGTTGGAATAATGGAAACCTATAAAAGGTGATCTATCATGAACTAAACAGTGCTATGAACTCCTACTACGTCTTTCTACCTGTCCTTCTTCTTCTTGTTCGAAGGTACGTAAGTGTACAAGTCTGCTATCTTACCACTAGTGTCACTGGAAATAAGGAAGAATCCAGCTGATTACCTCATTTTGACTCCTTTTTTCATGTTTTATGAAAGAGATGGATACAACGTAAATGGATCGTAATTTTTTTCAGATTATCAGCAAGCTATGGAATAGAAGGTTTGGATGCGTTTCTTTTATTTTTATATGTCCTCAACACCAATTAATGTTTTCAGAACCTGCTGTAGCTGTAGAGCCCGCGCACGTCGACGTTCCTTTAGCACATGCTCATGTCGCTCCGGTAGCCCCAGTAGTTCCCGTCGGCCCAGTGGCTCCAGTAGTCCCTTCAGTTCCTGCTGTTGTTCCTGCGGTAGACTATCATGTGGTATGAGTGTTCTGTTCGAAAATACTTTTCAATATACATATGATTGCAATTTGTATAAATGTTAAGCAAAATCTTTTTCTATTTCAGTATGATCACCACCACCCTTATTCTGAACTTCATAATGTAGCGAAATCTTACGCTAAAGGTTTGTGCCACCTACCCAATTTATGAAGACTCGAAAAAAGTTTCCTTTTCCAGAAGCAGGTCATGCCTTAGAAACAGCTATGGTTTCTGGACATGGACATGTAAATGGCTTTGGACTACATGCTCCCCATCTCGCAGACCCCTTCAGCCTCATAGAACCTTGGCGATCACGTCTTCACCATCATAAGGCTGCTAAAAAAGTTCATAAAACTCAAAAAACTGTGAACAAGAAAACTCATTAAGCCTCTGCAGCCGCTTTCAAGTACTCTGTCCTCAAATAAAGATTATATGCAAAGTTTACCGTTTATTACCCCTTTTGATGGTAGTACTCCCCAAAATGTCGCAA